CTTTACGCTTCTAATTTCCTGCACCTCCATTTCCCGTTCACCATCACATAAGCCCCATTCAAACGAAGTAAGTATTTTTAAGCTCAAAACTCTCTCCCTCTCCTCTTAAACTCCACGGCCTAAGCCTCCGCACAAATCCTTCCTTGGTTTCCTTAAGCAAAACCCAACCTCAAATTCCATTCCTCTTCTTGGCGATTTCGCCCTCAACTCCTAAGCCACCACAAGCCAAAACACCTCTCCAAAAGCCACACTCCTCTCACCTTTGCTACTGCCCTAAAAAAAGTCCTAATAACTTTTCTCTTTTCACATCTTTCTCTGGTAATCTTGGCCAAAGAAACCCTAAAAAAACAGCCTCCAAAACTTAAAAACCAACCCACCTTTGTTCACCTAACCAACCCCACACCAAACAGCCCCAAAACTTGCTTAAAACCAGCACAAGTTTTTTCATGCCTATTTGAATATGCTTGTCACCACTTTGGAGTACCCCCTTACAAATTTTCCAAGAGTTGGATTGGAAACACAAGGCAAGGAGGTCAGACTGGTGATCAAGGAGCACATATTTCACTTCCCTCTAGAAGAGAATACTCCTTACACTCTACAAAAGAAAAAGCATTTTATAAAATAATTGACACAATAAATTCTATCTCAAATAAAGTTGGCATTATCATAGTCGACTTTCACTTTAAGTCGACCTTAACTTTAAACTGTATAACTTACCTTGGTAGTGTTAATTGGATTGATAATGGCTTCGTGCGACGGCTTTTTTGAAATATTAGTTTCCCAGAGACACATTCTCAGAAGTGCTGGATTTGTTTGCTCCCTCTTCACTCCAGTTGTCTCTCCAAAATCAGTAATACACTCAAATAACAGAAACTACATGCACCAATAAGTGAAACCCAATTTAACCAATGAAATTATCAGAACTTTTATTACCAATTTAAATTAATTATTCACGGATGATGGGAGGACAAAGCCAGTGTAGCGGAGGGTGTTGGATGTTTTCCCGCCTTTAACAAGCTTCTATTTCTCTAAAACTAAGTCCTTCATCAATGATTGGATACGGAGGGACTCCAAGAATGCCCATGTCCCCCATGAAAAAGTCATTGAATCATCAAAGTTTGTAACTTTGGAAAGGATCCGTTTTGGAACTGACGCATCTTTCTTAGCATGACCAATCAAAACGGGTACAACAAACATCAATGTCGCCACCTTCACTATCCACTCGAGTGCATACTCTTTCTTCCCTTTCTCGTTAAGTAGCCTGCACAATGTTGAGATCCTCTTGACTACAGAAGTGTAACATACCACACTTTTTGGTCAGTTTTCTTCAACGAAAACACGCAGTGAATTGGAATCATACTTCTCTTTGTATCCGGATGCTAGTTCGAAACATTTGAGTCCAGTAATCAAGGAAAATTCCATTAAAGAGTATCTAATGGGAAATCCATTTACTACAAGCCACATTTCAGAATCTTTTTGTCTTTCCACATTATCCTCCCTAACCATCAATTGCCATAACATGGCTGGAGGGGGAACAAGTTGGACATCAAGGAAAGCACCAAAAGGAGAATCTCTCCTAAACTCTTTTAGGATTTGAATATGATTGCATAACTTTTCTTTCATCAATTTTTGGAAGTCTTGCAGTGATGACTTCACAGTCAGCTTCATATGTGGAATGTCCTTTACATTTACCTTCGTCTTGATCACCGGAACCTATATAACGACATATAATGTGAATGAATTTCATATGAAATGACATCCAATTAGTGCGACCAGTTGGTCGACACTTATTTTAGTGTATTAAGATAGTCGACCAGACCAAAAATTCATAAACCATTGTCTAGTGGTTATTTGGAGAGAATAATTTAATTTATTTATAATCAAGTTTCTGACCTCGAATGTTCCTTGTGTGGCCTTTGGGCTTCCGCTATGCTATGTCATCGTCTCTTTTGCATGATACTCATTGTTTCCATTTTGGAGTAAGACACAGAAGCATTCTTCGTCCTCATTGTAGAAATTCAACGTTTTCCGAGATCGGTGACTTTGGATGGGTAGGGTTTCGATCAACTTTTGCAGGTGTCGAAGAGGGGGGATAGAGCACACAATGATCGAAAACTCAATGGTCGCACGATGAAGGAAGATGTTTTTGGAGGGTTTTTGTTTAGTCTCTTCCAACGGTGTTTCGCCCAATCTCAGATTTTTTTTATTTAGAATAAATTCCATAAAAGGTCCCCAGTTATAGGTCATTTTACATATTTAGTCCCTACATATTAAATATTACTAATTTAGTCCTCAATTATTAGATTAATATCCACGAATGGTCCTTTGTTAAGATTTTCATTAAGAACATGGATAAAATTGTAAATTCACACTTCTTTCTCTCCTCAATAAGCTTCATTCCTCCCCTCGCAATCCATTCCCAAACCCGTCGATGAGTTTGAAGCTTTGAACCCAAAACCAAAATCATCACTCTTCTCTAAATTGTTTGTCGAACTGGTGCAACCCAAATTCGAAATCAATAACCTTCAGGGATGAGTTTTAATGTTTATTTTCTTTGCAATTCCTTGAGACTAACCGATAAAACTCATCCATAAAACTTATTGGTTTTGATTTTAGGTTCCACCAGGAAGACTAATACTACCTCCGTCCTAGTGTATTTGTCCAGTTTGACTTTTTCGAGTCAAACTCGACAAACTATGAGCTCTAATTAAATAAAAATCGTAATGTATTTTAACTTAAAGATGACTTTATTGGATTTATCGTATTGAGAACTTTTAAAATTGTACTTCATTATGCTAATATGTAATATAAATTGAGAGTAATTGGTGTTCAAAGTTTATCCAATTTGACTCAAAAAAGTCAAACTGGATAAATACACTGGGACGGAGGTAGTAATTGAGAGAGGAGTGATCATTTCAGTTTTGGGTTTAGAGCTTCAAACTCAGTGACGAGTTTGGGAAAGAGTACGAGAGGAGGGAGGAAGCTTAATTGTGGAGAGAGAAGTATGAATATATAATTTTATCATGTTCTTAACAAAAACGTTAACAAAGGACCATTCGTTAGAACTGATATAATAATTAGGGATTAAATTAGTAATATTTGATATGTAGGAACTAAATATGTAAAACGACCTATAACTGGATATCTTTTATGAAATTTACTCTTTTATTTAAATTTAAATTTGAAACGCTTTGGTTAAATGGCCCTCTTTTTCATTTTGTAAGAAGCCCGTCACTCATCCACCCCTTACATTTCAGAGGAATGGAAGAGAGAGGCGCGACGTAGAGAAGATAGAAGGGCGACCGACTATTTTCACGAGGAGAAACCCTTCCATTAGATCAATTCAAAGTAAGTTTCGTTTGGTTTTTTTAGAAATTGACGTGTTTATTATCTTTATGGGGTTGTGTTTAGGATGAAATTTTTCATTCAAGGGTTGAAGATGTGGTGGTGGGAATTGCGTGGACAATTGGAGGGGGGCATTGACGATACGGGAAGGTCGGCGGGTGGGTCGTGGGTCATGGGTAGGGGGAATTGTGTAGGGGCTGGGGCAGTGGGTAGGGGCTGGGGTAAGTGGGTAAGGGCTGGGGGTAGGGGCAGCGGTTAGGGGCTAAAAATTTGACCTATCTTTGTTAGATATGCATTTTGAATGCTAATTCATGTACATTTTCTTGAAGAAAATGAATCGCAGTTGGTAATCAGGGTCACAATTAAGGTCATAGACTAGGCAATCCTCTGTATTATATAAGCCGCTAACATGCGGTTAGGCCTAGATTTTTTTCCGTCTATTTTAACGCCCCTGTACTCTTCTCCGTCTCTTCACTATTCGGAATCATCTTTTCCATTGGCCACTTCGCCGCCCGCCGCCCACCGATGCAGCCCCCTTCCTAGTCCACCACCCCACGAAGGACAACCCTCCTTTTATATCTCCCCTGGGATTGCATTGGCCTCTTCTATCATCTTCCTCTAAATTTAGTTTGGTCAGATCCCTTCGCCAAGCCCTAGGTACACCTTCCTTTTGTTTTTGACTTTTTGTTGCACTCTTTTCAAAAATGGATACGATATATGAATTTCTTAATTTGGGTTTCGATTGTTCTCAGTTATTCTATGATCAGACAATTAAATATTTTTTAGAGTAATTTACGAATTATGAATTGATTAAAAAACTATTCTGACATCTGAATAATTTTTTATTAACCATTTGTGAGAATTCAAGTGATATGAATATGTGATTAGAAAAGAGAATGAATGAAATTATGCTCACAGAATAGTTTTATTAACTTGTAGTTACAATTCTTCATTTTTATTAACTATCTGAATCATTTTTCATTTCTAATTATAAAATCAAATTCTGAATTATGAATTGTAATAAAACCAATTCTGCATTTTTATGAATTAGAAATTTTTTTAGAGTAATTTTTGAATTATGAATTGACACTGCATGTTAATCTTGCTTTGAAAAATGGAAAACACTGCATTTTTAAATGAAGAAATAGTGTTCTTCATTGGAATTCCTTTAAAACAAGGAATATATGGTTTCTGCTAAATATATTAATTATATTTAATTATAGTGTTACGATACTTGTATAGGTTTCCTAATGTGGCTCTCCTACTATGATTAGGATTGAAGCCTCTAGTATATATTGATGTATTCTCTACACAATTATTCAATGAAAATATTCTTTCTACATGGAATCAGAGCCACAAAACCCTAAACCCTAATCTCCCCATCTCTTTCTCTCGTTCGGCCAGCCCCGCCTCCCTAGCGGCGGCCCCTTTCTCGGCGACGACACCTCTCTCCCGTCGGCTCTCCCTCCTTCTCTCTCACCATGGCTGAAAATAGTGAGGTTATCTCTCAAAATACATCCTCCAAACCCCCGCATCTTGCTCTCACACCTATCTCTAATGTGAAGTTGCATGTTCCCGTTCAACTAAGCCTCTCCCAACCGAACTACAAAAAATGGAGTCGTCTATTTCTCCTTCTCGTTCGATGATTTAATCTCCAGGGATACCTCGATGGATCTGTCGTCCCCCTCTCCGAAGACGACGACGAATGGTGCCAACTCGATGCCCTTCTCCAGGGTTGGATTCTCTCCACCATCACCGATGAAGTCTCTGATCTGGTCATCTCTTTTCTCACCACTGCTTCAGCTCTCTGGAAGGTCATCCACGACCTATTTCACGACAATAAACACGCCCGGGCCATGCAGTTAGAACATGAATTCCGCACCACCGTCAAGGGCTCTACCCCCATGGCGGCCTATTGCCAGCAACTCCAAAACCTTGCAGACTGGTTGGATGACGTCGATGCACCAGTCTCTCAACACCAACTGGTCCTCCAGATGCTCCGAGGGCTTCCCGCAGATCTTCAGGCTCAAACCTCGTTCATGCAGTTTCAGGATCCGATGCCAAATTTTCTTCAAGTTCGATCGGCTCTCATGCTCTTGGATCGCCAACAGTCCAATCCCGTTGACACCGGCAGCACGGCCCTGCTCACTACCCGAGCCGGCGGTCAACTCCACGGTGGGACACACGGCGGCAGCGACTATGGTGGACAGCACGGCGGCAGCAGCTACGGTGATGGCAACCCGGGACATCGCGGAGGCTTTGGACGAGGGCAAGGACGTGGCGGCGGAAATCGGGGTCGTGGATGTGGACGTCAAAACGGCTCCAAGCAACGACAAACCCATGATGGCAATACCACCTGGAACTCACCTCACCCAAACCCTAACCCCGGCCTCTTAGGCCCTCGCCCTACACCCTACCCGTACCNGACACCGGTGCTTCTCATCACATTGCCTCCGACCCAGGTACTCTTTCTCATGTCTCTTCTCAATCTTTATATTCACCATTATATATCACTGTTGGTAATGGATCTAAAGTTAGCACTACGGCTGTTGGTAATCACACTCTCCCTACTACCCCTGCCCTATCCCTTAACAACATCCTCGTTTCCCCTCACATCACTCACAACCTTATTTCTGTTCGCCAACTTACTCGTGATAATAACTGTACTGTTGAATTTGATGCTCATGGTTTTTCTGTGAAGGATCGTCAGACGGGAACCGTGATGCATCGATCCAATGATATGGGACCCCTCTACCCCCTTGGCCGAACTGCACCTGCCCAAGCCCATGTCGCCGCTGTCGATCTTCAGACTTGGCATCGGCGTCTAGGCCACCCCAGCCAGGCCGTTCTCCGTGGCGTCTCCTCCCTTCCGTTTTTTAAAAGCTATCAACATACTTTATGTCATGCGTGTCAAGTGGGAAAGCATGTGCGCCTCCCTTTTTAATCTTCCAGTCGTATTTCAATGTATCTATTTCAACTTTTACATACTGATTTATGGCAATCTCCTGTTCCAAGTATTATTGGTTTTAAATTTTACATGCTATTGTTGGATGATTTCTCTCATTATTTATGGGTTTTTCCTTTAAAACACAAAAGTGATGCATTTAATCATTTAACTTCTTTTGTCGCTTATGTAAAAAGTCATTTTAACACAACAATCAAAGCTGTGCAATGTGACAATGGAACAGAATACCGAAATTCTCCTTTGAAAAATATTTTTGACTCTCTAGGCATCCTCTTTCGTTTCTCTTGTCCTCACACAAGTCAACAAAATGGACGAGCTGAGCGAACTATACGAACCATAAACAACACCGTCCGTTCCCTTCTTTTCCAAGCCCAACTACCACCTAACTTCTGGGTTGAGGCCCTTTACATGACAGCTCACATTTTTAATATTCCTCAAAATCCCCACACTGAACAATCGCACCCCTCACGCCACTCTCTATAACTCTCCCCCCTCTTACTCTCACTTGCGTGTTTTCGGTTGTCTCTGCTACCCCCAACATCTCCGCCACCGCCCCGCATAAACTTGCCCCACGCTCGGCTCGTTGCATTTTCCTAGGCTATATCCCTCTAATCAACACGGTTTCCGTTGTCTTGATCTCACCACCCATAAGGTAATCGTCTCCCGTCATGTCATGTTTGATGAGTCTTGTTTTCCATATGGTCACCCCACCCCCAAGATTTTAATTTCCTCGACGCCACGGACAACGACCCCCCCGCACCCTATCCCTACCCTCGGCCAGCCTCACCCACCCACACCCCACCCGTCTCTTCTCAAAATCCCACTGCCAGACCCACTGGCAGCGTCACACCCCAGCCCAACCCCCCTGTCCAGCCCGCCTCCCCCACCCGCATATCCCCTACCGAAGCCCAGACC